GTTTTGAAAAAAATAAATAAATAAAACATAAAAAAAAAACACCAATACAGGCCGATAGCCCTACAGTACCAGCGTATCAGCTTGTATCGATATTTAGAACCTAGCCATTGAATATATATGTGGGTAAAATATTTTAATGTTCCATTATGAAAACAATAAGAAATTGTGTTAAAACTGTTGGAAACCAGAATTTTTGGCAGATAAAATTTCTTTTTGTTTTTTTGAAATGTTATGGGATTTCAGTTGAAAAGTGTACAACATATTATGAAATTCTGGTTGAAAAAAAAAAAAGCTGGGGGAAATATCCAGATGACTGTTTCAGTAAACTTACCTAAACCATTCAAAAAATTTGGTAAATTTTAAAACTTTGTTCATCAATGAAAGAATCCTTTTTTCACTCTTATTATCCAAAATGAAAAAAAGAAATATCTGAATGGTAATCAGAACCAAATATTCAGTCTTTGTTACCAGCACATAACACTTCACACTAAATAGCAAAAGTTTATGTAGTCCAATCTGGCAAAATAGGAAGCCAAGCCCAGCCCAGCCCACGTATGGCAAAATAGGGTGCTAGTGTAAACTGAAATTAGGGTATCTAAAATCAAGGATCAGTGGGCTAGTCATGGCCCAAAACCTTGGATATATGTAAGATGGGCCTTAGAATTGATTTTTTTTTTTCCTATTAAACCTGACCAAACTCAAGTTGGGCGAGTTTGGGTAAGGGGCCTATGGGCTGCTGCGGCCCAATGTATTGCCGTACTCTTAAATCCCTTTTTTTATTGGGGTTTATTTGATGCAAATAGGGCTGTTCACGGGTCGGGTTGGGTTGGTTTACTGATGTTTTTCCAATCAACCCGATTTGGTCGGGTTATCTGAAATTGAAACCGAAACCGACCCTGTGTTAAACAAAACTGACCTGATCGGTTTGAGTCGGTTTGGGTCAGTTTCAGCTCTACTTAGGAGTGACTTAGTTGCTGTTCAAGTGTTCATTTCTGACTCTACATTCCCAAAGGAAACCAGCATTTTCTTAATGTTTTGTGGCCCATCCATGGATCCAGTTGTGGAGGGAGCAGAGTTTGAGATACAACTTAGTTAACTAGGTTGTAACTAGGATAGAGACAACTTAGTTAAGTAGGAACTAAGTAGGTCGTAACTACTAAGTAGGAACTAACTACTAAATCGGATTGATTCGGGTCAGGTCGGGTCGGTTTTGATTTTCACACATGAAAATCGAATCATCGGTTTATGATTTTTTATAACCCAAAACCGACCGGTGCTGAAGAAAACCCGCCCGACTTAGGTTGGTCGGTTTGGTCGGATTGGGTCTTCTTATGAACAGCCCTAGATGCAAGTCTGTATTTCATCATTCTATTTTGGCAAAAACTATGATGCATTAACTGCACCTTGAGAGTGATTTTTTACAGTTGAATCTTTAATGTTGTTAAATTCTTTAATGATTTAAATATACCCTGTGAAATACGAAACAACGAAAAAAATATAAATTGTGTGTCGCTTTTAACACAATTGATTGAAATTTTAAATCATCTATAGTGTTTAGATAAAGAGAGAGATGTGAAGTAAAATTTACATGAATCCTATTCCTCCATTCCTTTCTGTTCAATGTCATGGAGTAAAACTCAGTTAAGGCGTTTACACTGGATATCTCGGACTTTGGATCCTCTGTGGTATTGAACCATGAACTATATTCAACAAAGAGTTATGAGTAACCAAAGTCCCAATGAACTGCTGTATGCTTCTATGTGGAGTTTCTTTTGAAACAAGTTTCTATAAGACCTTTAAAAGGCCACAGACTCTTTTGGGGGTGTAAGTCAGCTACTGGATTTGATGAATTTGTAAATTTGTAATGCATCAGGCCCAAGCCCAGGCCCAGGCCCTTCAAATTAATTCTAGCAAATGCTCAGCCCTAGCCTGCTGTTCTAGCAATTCATAGATATTCCTGGAGTACAGAAGACAAAGAAGAGAATGGAAATGCAGTTGAGACATGGAATTGGAGACTTATTGGGATCCATGCCAAAGACGATTGGTAACAGATTGGGTTTTGTGTATCCAAATTTGTTCTGAGGTTCAGCTCTCAGGGATGAAGACGAAGCTGACGAACCTTCAATGTACTATTTTTCATGGACAGCATTTAGAGATAAGATTTGGTGAAGATATGGAATCTGGTCATTGTCCCAAAACAAAGTTCAAGAGGTTAGTATCATGACCTCCTAAGAATAGGATGAGTTTCTCTAATTTAAATTACAAATAGGTATCCTGAACTTTCAAAAATAGACACTTGGGTCCATCTGTTAATATTCCGTTAGTTAAACTTTACATAATGTCAATAATACCATTTTTGTGTATTTTTTTAGATTATTCTATGGAGTAAAATCATCACCAAAGAATGCCGTCATCAGAAAATTTGAATATGTTATTTGTTGTCCATGTGAGATGGTCATCATGGAGAGACGTAAATTTACCTAAGAATGATCTCAGAAATGCATGAGAAAGTTCTTTTTGGTATTATCTAATGCTTAAGTGACTGAATACTAACGGATGGACCTAAGTGTCTATTTTTGAGAATTCAAAGTACTCAAGTGTTGCAATTGAAAGTTTAGGATACCTATCTATCACTACCCCAAAGTATAGGATACCTATCTGTAATTTACCCTTTTTTGTTTATTTTTTCATTTCATGGGACTAGACGAGATAAGGTGAGTATCTAAGGATATTTTCACTTTAATACCCTGAACTTTGGGGGTAGTGTCAAGTTAGTACCTGAACTTTCAAATGTGTCATTGTAATATCCAAACTTTCAAAAAGTGTCAAGTTTGTCCCTGCCATTAACTGACCTTCGGTTCACGTGAGTACATGATGACATGTACAACTTAAAATTTTTGAAAATGTCAAAACTACCAATCAAAAGAAGACACTGTTCACTGTCTTCTACATTAAGACTGAACTCGTTGAGGTGTTAAAGTGTTCCATAAAGCTTTGAAAGTGGGCCCTCAATAAAACATAATAGGCCGGAATATCATCTGAGCCAGGCCTAACCGGCCCTCTCCAAAATTTAACAAACCTTGGATCATTCGTTACTCAAATCATGAGATTCTATGCTTCGGACTCGGTTTAAGATTGGGTTTTAGTAGGGCCAATGTCTCAAAAGTGATGTTGTAGGACTCGGATTCCACAGAAAACCAGAATGCTCACCGGACCATGGTTTTATCAGTTAACCGAGTGGTTGGCCCATCCTAACTGTTAAAAACCCGTTATTTAACCAGGACCCAGAAAGGCCATTGGATCACCGTGTCATCGGTTCAACCGCCTAGTCCGGTCCGATCTGTAAGATACCAAGTCGACAGATCCTATAAGGAAACGAGATGGGCATGTGGTATTTTCCTCTCCTCCCACTCTCACTTTTCCTTGGTAGAGCAAAAGTGGACAATTGAGTATGAAAAGGTTGAAGTTTGATACTGTACATCAAACCATCCAAACTCATGGTTTTTAGCCTGTAGATTGGAGTTCTCCATTTAAACCCACCTCTTATTTTATCAATCTGAGTGATCACTTCCCCAAAAATGGACCCCCAAGATTCTAAAGATCCAGAAGATCATTGGTATGATCTAAACCATTCTTCTTAATTTGGTGGGCTCAGAAAATACACTGCAAGCCAGTAACCGACCCAGTCATGTTGGGTCTCCATTGGCATTGCTCCACATGTTCCTTCACCTATACTTGATAGAAAAAAATAATAATTTAAAACATCATATGTCAAGACCCAAAGAGACAAAATTCTTCAGGTCCAAGATGAAACCTATCCTCCCTGTTACACCTGGCAAAAAGTTGACTCAATCCAACCCGAAAAAATAGAGTTAGGGTCTCATTTTGAATTACCTGAATTTGAGAATGACCTGACCCGATTTAACCCCCGAAAAAAACTGGGTTGGATAGGGTTGGTTCATGGGTCTAATTGGGACTATTTATACATTGTTAGAGTTTTCGCTCTTTAATTTTTAATATTTAGTCTTTACTCTTTATTGTTTACTCTGAATTGTTAAATGTTCAAGTTTTTTTTATTTAATATTTGAAATTTTAATGTTAATTCCTTTAATTTTGGCATTTTTCATGTATTTATTTTTTATTTTTAAATTTTAATTATTTTTTGGGATGATCAGAATTGACCCATGGGTCAACCCTAACCTGAACATTTAAGGTTAGGGTCTAGCATTTGGCAACCCAACCCAAAAATCAACCCGACCCAAAATCAACCCGAAGTGTCTTGACTCAACCCGAACCCGACCCACCCAACCCAATTGCCAGGTCTACTCCCTGTAAATGTTTAGATTTGTTGAACAGATCAAGATTTTAAAAACCGAACTGAATACAGAACTGTTTTAGTTACTGATTTCCGGGTCAAACAGTCCAATCATCTAGTTGGAATGAATGGCCTGTTCTGACTTAAAAAGATAAAAAAATAAATTAAAATAAAAAACTGGCCAAAAACTATTGTCCAGATCAACAGTTTGATGGTTCGACCACCCAAATCAGCGGGTCGCTGATCAAATCAATAGTTTTTGGCCCATGAGTGATTTTTGGATGAAATGGAATCGATTGCCTGACCATTTCCGAATCAACTGGTCCAACCGTTCGATCCGATCCGATTTTCAAAACCATGGAATGGAACAGATTGAGTAGTCAGGGTACCCTTTTGGCCGAAGTGCCTTCCTACTCATTTACGCAATTGACAAGTTGCAGCCAATAACCACAACAAAAATAAGATTAGTTTAAGACAAAAAGTTGGATGGCACCAAACCAAAACTTGTTATCACAGAATCAGTAATCCAAGGCTGATCAATAGCAAAAGAATACTATAAAATAAATAAAGTGAGGCACAACTCTAGATATCTATAGCTATATATAGTGAAAAGTATCTTATCTATCACTCTAGATTACTATAAAATACCCAACAACTTGATTTATTTCAGTGACTAATTAAGGAGTCAATGTCAGGAGACATTTGATCCCTCTTTGTTTTTTCTGATTTGGGTCCAGATAATAATGGTATAAAAGTACTAAAGCCATATCTAGCTTTCATGAACCATCTCTCACAAAATTTTGCTAGACCAGGCTGTTGCAGATGATATGGGATGGAGAACATGGAGTCACCACCCCAACAACCCTCCCAAGAATCCCATCTCCTCCTCACCCCACTAATGATCTCCATGGCAGGAATTGTGGCCACAGCTCTGGCAATTGTAGCCTACAATTTTGTGCTGACCAGATACTGTGTGAGCAGGCGCCAAGATGAGACCTCTGAAGCAGTTCAAGGGAACCAGGCTGCAGTTGGGTTGAAAGAAAAGGTGCTTGAGTCCATCCCAATTCTAGCTTACTCCAGCAAGCAAGGCGGAGGGCTGTTTCGTGCTGAGCAGAGCGAATGTGCCGTGTGTTTGGGTCATCTGGAGGAAGGAGAAGTGGTACGACTGTTGCCCAACTGTCGACATGCTTTCCACCTTCGTTGCATTGATAAATGGCTCGCTTCGCATTCGAATTGCCCGCTCTGTCGAACACCCATCATGGCCTCCATGTCTGTGGTGTTGCCAGTGCTCGGCCCTGTGGATATGGAGGTGGAAGAAGAAGATGATGATGATGATGCTGAAAGGCATGTTCCAGTTCAACAGAACAGCAGCCAAGGTCTTGGTGCTGGTGCTGGTGATACTATTAATATTTCCATCGGGCCTGGGAATTCAAATGCTTTGCTTCAACAATCTTCTTCTTCTTCTTCTTCTTCTTCTTCTTCTTCTTCTTCTTCTTCTTCTTCTTCTTCTTCTTCTTCTTCCCTTGTCTCAAAAGTTGGTTTTTTGCAGAGTAATTCATGCAGAGTAGAATCTGTTAGGTGCTTAGGTTGTGCATCATCCATGTTAATGAAATCCTTATCACTATTGGGGATGGTTCATGGCGGTACAACCAATAGAATCCTTCCCCAATGAATCAGTTTTGATTCAAATGTAAACTCTACTCATTAAAGTAAAAGGGTGGTTGTTGCAGCTGATGATGATGATGACTCTCTCTCTCTCTCTCTCTCTCTCTCTGTACCAAAAGATATATGAAAAATGATCTTTGCTTTGCTTCTTGTAGTAATTCTTCATGTCACTGTGAAATGGAAAAATTAATATACCTAAGAAATGAATCTAGTGTAGCAGATTGGTGACTATTGCAACAGAATTCCCTTCATCCCTTCCCCTTTTGACTTGGGCTTGCCGTTTCCTGTTTGTTAGCAGGTTGTTCATCACTTGCTGGGGCACTGTTTCTTCTTATGAATTGAAATTAGAATTCTCAAGCATTTCTCTCCATAGACTTGGCCCTATCCTCCTCATTCAACGGTCTTGTAGCCATGGTTTTAAATCTTGGAAATTTCTTTCCTTTTTGACTCTTGATGGATCCATGATCAAATTTTTATATCTTAGACAAAACATTTCACTGAATTTCATATTTAATATTTTAGTATTTTGTAATAATAATTATATATTATATAATTGATTCTATATTTTTTCATAATTTCTATCCCAAAGCCACCCACAAGAAAAGAGAGGAGGAGATTGGTGACTGATGGAGGTTGATCAGTATGCTTCATGGAAAAGCAAAGCTGTGCAAGGCCCATCCAATTTGTTAATTTAACCACTAGCTAGTTTTTCTTTTGGAAGGAAGGTACAACCTTTATGGTGGGTCCTATTTATACTTTAGTGATACTTATCTGAATATCTGATATCTCCTTGTTAATTATATGTATCTACCAAAAAATCCACATTCAAGTTTATTCGATGAATAATGTGCATGAATTGGTAGGTTTTAATCAATCACAGTCACAGTCAGCGCACTAAGGGCTTTTCTTTTTCTTTGCTTCTTTTCATTCATTATACCACCTTTTAATGGAGCCATATTCCCCATTCAGGATTGATCATAAAAGAAAAACTGATCTCATCACTCATGCATTTGTATTAATGCAAATGAAATTGCACTCCAAACAAACGGAGCTGTAGCTAAGAATCTCTTCAAAGGCCCCACTGATACCTAGAATTCTTCTGTTTTGAGGTCCCACCACACCATTTATGAGTTGTAAAATTCTTTTAGCACAACAGCTTCAAGTAATGCAATAAAAGTTGCAAACTCAGTTCTAATTAGTGATTGAGCAATGCGTCTTCATCTCTTGCTTAGTTGCTTTAGTTCTCAGAATGAATACATATCTTTAGGACTAATTCTCAGTAATTTCAATCTTCTGTGTAAACAGTAGCAGCAATCCATGGTCTTGACAATGATACCCTATTAAGTAAATATACTCTTCAAAATTCTGGTCCCATGAATCTTATACTTTTGTTTGATCTAAGTAGTCATTTCAGGCTCAACTAAAGAAACCTTTTTTCCAACTATTTGGAGTTTGGCTACATAAATAATCCTGTTGTCTTCCATGAATCCTCCAGGTGGATTGGAGAAATTTGCTCCAACAAGTAGGGCTGTAACTTGGACTGGGTTAACCTGAACCCAGCCCAAAAAATTGGGTTGGCCAAGCTGAAGTTCAGATTAGGGTTAGGGTTGAAAAGTGTGAATTCAACTTCGGGTTGGGTTAGGGTTGAGGCTTTGGCCAATCTGACCTAGCTTCATATTTGTATGCATAAATATTATATTAACAGTTATTTATGTGAGTATTAATACGCACACACACACACATATATATATATATATATATATATATATATATATATATGTGTGTGTGTGTATATGTATGTATATGCATGTGGCATGGATGCATATGTGAAAATATACATTCATAAATATATGTATGTATGTATTATATATCTTTTTATACATATGTATATCAATAAATTTAAGTTTAAAGGCAAGATTTTTAAAAAGTAACTATATCCTTTTAACATGTAATAATACTAAAACTGAATTGATCTCAACCCTTAAGCTTAGGAGATAAGAACGTGGTAAAAGGAAATAGAGAAGTTGGACCAACCCAAGCCTAGCCCAAAACTTTAAATTAAGTTAGGGTTGACCTCAACCCGACTTAACCCGGCCGGTTCTATTGGCACCCCTGCCAACGAGTGCTCCTCAAGTCTTTAGTTCATTTGTAACTGACAGCTCTGGTAGCTCATTCTGTTTATCTAAATCTCCACTAAATGTAAAAGTTAGGTTTTTGACCCAAATCCAATTAACTAGTGCAAATTAGTGTTCTTCTTTCTTTGACTGCAACACAAACAGAAATTGGTCTTATTCCAAATTTACAATAAGTGGGTTCAATTAAGATGATAAGCTTGTGCTCTAGTCTAGAATAAAAACAAAGAACACTGAAATCGTTTCATTCCATCATGTATCTCTACTTATGGAAAGGAACAAAACTATTCAACAATCATCATACAATGGGCCCATTTAAAACAATTTCAAAGGCCATCCTGTTAATCTGATCTTTTGTGCGGTTGTACTTCCAGTAGGACCCAATCATCTCTCTCTCTCTCGTGCGTTTGCACTTTGCACGCTGAGCGTGAAGCAGCAATAATGTGGGTTGGTTATCTTATCCCTCTTTTCATCATTGTATCATGAATTCATGATAATGTTTAGCCCAGCAAACATCCAGAGCAAATTCAGCCCAATAATTGCATCACGAGTTAATGATAGGCCTCACCTGGCCTGGAACGGACCACAACTCTAATATCTTCCTATTATCCTATTTGCTTCGCTTGGACCAATGGACAGAGTAGAGTGAGAGCTGCCTAGAGTGAAGTCGCCCAGATGTCAATTTCAGAAGTTTAGTGGTATGTTATAGTCTTAAAGGCTTTCGGTGTATTGGTCAAGATTGTAACAGCGCTGTAAGTCAGGCTGGGTTAGGTCGGGTTGAGGCCAACCTTAGCTCAGTCCTAAATTCTGAATCCCAACCTTAACTAAATTCCTTCAACCCTAATCCAACCCGAAGTCAATTTCAGATAGGATTGAGCTCGGGTTAGGTCCAACCCAACCTTCTTCTCATCCCTTAAAACCTCATAGGATTTCTCGATTTTAGATCTTAACTCAGCTTTCACTACATATATTAATCCTATGTTTTATTAGTATTTATTTGTTGATATTTTTTTTTGTTCTTTTGATACAAAATTCAGAAAAACAAGTGTTAGAAATTACTATAGTTTAATATGAGTTATGACTTACGATAGATCTTTCTTGGGTGACAAACAACATAGAGGAGATTAAGAATAAAATTTTCAAAAAACATAAAATAATGTTATCAAGGTTTTAATCTTTCTGATTAGGATTAAGTGAAATGATTATCTTAAACGAAATACATGATACTATGTGGTGGGTGCTATACAAATATCATGCATCTAAACAAATCAATATATGTTATATATTGCATATAACATATATTTATATATGTGACATGTATTATAGAGTCAGGTTCGGGTTGAATCGGGTTGGCTAAGGGGTCAACCCTAACCCAACCCAAAGTAAAGTTGGGTTTATGAATTTCAACCCTAACCCTAACCCGAACATCAACCCAACCCAACTTTTTCAGTTGGGTTAGGTTGGGTTTGGGCCAACCCGGCCCAAGTTGCAGCCTTAGCTTGTAACAATAACTCTTTGGGGCAACAAAGAGACCTCTTAGTTTTGGCTCAACTATTGTAATTCCCTGATTCAGAATATCTATCTACAAGCTCCAAATTGATTCACTTACATTATTCACTCCAAATCATTTTAAGAAATAATTTGCCATCATCATGGATAGAAATTAAGGCAGCAATTGAAGGAATTAGATTTAAGCACAGATGCCCGGTTCATGAACATAGGAAATTCTCCACGAGAACTTGACAATAAATCTAACTTCCCAAACAAATTATTGTCACAAATTTAAGTATCAGGCACATAATTTCTTTTTTCTTTTGAGAACATAAGAAATTGAAATGGCTTTATATAATTCTCTGGAATTTGCTATGAACATGAAGGAAGGAGCGGTAGTTAAACATAGTTGATTAAAAAAAGAAAATTTTGGGATAGTCCAACATTTACGAACCTCTCTCTCTCTCT